TGTTGCTTTCCCCTAGCTCTGGAGTTCTGCTGTTCTCCTTGATAGGTGAACTTGGTCTTGGCTGGATGTTCTTGCTGATCTTCTGAGGGAGGGGCCTGTTGCAGTGATTCTCAGATGTCTTTGGCCAAGGCAGAATTGCACCGCCTTGCCAGGGACCAGCTAAGTAATCTGCTCGGGTTTGCTCTTGGTAGCTTTTGTTCCCTGAATGCTTTCTGTATCGCTTTGGAGGACGGGATGAAAATGGCAGTCTCCCAGTCTCTGGCCTGGAGGAGCCAAGAGCTTGGGGCCCCACTCCTCAGTGCGCCCTCAGATATAAGCAGTCAATCACTCCTGTCTCCCTGGTCTCTGGCTGCACTCCAAGCTCACCTGGCCTGGTATTGAGCATTTCTATCTCTGGCACACAGCCTTGTTTGGAGTCTCCAAACCCAGCAGATCCCTGCTGCACTGCTCCTTCTGGAGCAGAAAGGTGAGTCTCCCTGGATCTGCCACTTGTGGGATCTGTTCTCAAAGAGCAGTGAGTGGCCCAACTGTGCCTTGGATCACGGTTTAAGGTGACCCCAAGCTGAGAGCTCACTCCTCAGCTCCATCTCTGGAGCCAGCTTCCCTGCTCTGATACCACACTCAGGCACCCCCGACCTTTCTGTGACCCCATGGGACCTGAGACCACACTGGCCCTGCGAGGGCTCCACCCCCGCTTAGCCTCTGGAGCGATGTCCCTCAGTGGAGCAGACTTCTAAAAGTTCTGATTTTGTGCTCCATTGCTCCACCGCTTGCCAGAAGCCGGCCCCTCCCCCTGTGGTTGATCTTCCTGCTGCTTCGGATTCACTTCTCCGCACATCTTACCTTTCAGAAAGTGGTCGATTTTCTGTTCTTAGAATTGCTGCTCTTCTTCTCTTAGATCTCTTGTTGGGTTTGTAGGTGTTCGGAATGGTTTGATAACTATCTAGCTGAACTCCTGGTATCTGATGTCATTTCAGTCTGCTCCTCCTCCACCATCTTGCCTCTCTGATCTGAAGCATGTTTTTAAGACAGCTTTATTTATAGTGCATGCTGATTAGTTGATGATGCTGTGATAATATTTTTTATTCTGGCTTATTTTATGGCAAAGGGAACTTGGAAGTTAAGACAAAGGTTATATAGTAGAAGAAATATATACACATTGGACATATATTTCTCCTTTAGCTTATATTTTTTAACATTCTCCTCCTTTCTATTCCTCATTTAGAGCTATCTATTTCATACTGTATTTTTTTTTTCTTCATGATCCATATCATTTAAAGAGTGAATGCTATTTTCCAAGTGGGCTTTCTCCATCTGGAACTGAAGAGAAAATAATTTAACAGTCTTGTATTACTGCATTTGACATTGTCCAAAATGTCTTCACATACATTTCTCCCATTAAACTATGCAGAAGCCCTAGACATTATTTTTTTTAAGATATCATTTATTTATTTGCCAGAGAGAGTGCATGCATAAGCAGGGGGAAGGGCAGAGGCAGAGGGAGAAGCAGGCTCCCTGCTGAGTAAGGAGCCCCATGGGCTGCAGGACTCCATCCCAGGACCCTGGGATCATGACCTTAGCTGAAGGCAGCCATTTAACTGACGGAGCCACCCAGGCATCCTGCCCTATATATTATTATACCCGCTTCCTTGTTGGTGAAACTCAAGCTCAGAGAGGTATTTGTCTGAGATCCCAAAACACCAAGGCCTACTATCACAACCACAGAGGCAGACATTCTTGATAAAGCAAAGCTGAAAATCAAACCCAGATCATTCTGCTTCCAAATCCCGGGGGTCCTTTAGCTACAACCTAGTTGGACTCATGGTGTAGGTGATGTCTGGAATGTGTGGCACTGGCATTCAGAGATATCCCGTGGACCAACCCAGGGCTTAGCACAAGGCAGGGACTGAGTTAATATTTGCTGATTGAATGTATTAGAATAATCATCCCTTCAAAACTAGATGACATTGTTTCTCTGGATGCCCAACAGATGGTGCTAAATAGCCAAGGGAGCGCATCACTTCCCTTTTAGTGAAGCCTTGAAGTTTCATACAGGTCCTGAGAATTTCAAAAGCAATCGATACTAACAATATAGGAAAACAAAAGAGTTACAATTTTTAATCAGTGGCTCAAATACTTACATTTGTGTATAGATAGAACTAGCATAATTTATAAAGCAAAATATTTAAATCATTTGTCATAACTTTTTTAAACAAACAAAAAAACCACACAGGTAAAACATTTGGAATGATCTATATTAATTAATCAATCCAAAGCCAATTCTAATTTCAAGTTAATTGAAAAAATCAGCTTAGTAATTATTTATTAGGTTTTGGGGATCCTTCCCTTGTCCTCTTTCGTGTGATATCAGCTTTGTTCCCTCAGCTGTCTCTGGATCCACAGAAAGCTTTCCTAGAGTTCATTGTACCTTGCCCATCCCTCTGTGGGAGCTGAGTGAGCAGTGCTGTTCCCAGGGAAGCTTATTGGCTTTTCTTCTTGCTGATAGAGATCACACCTTGCTTATCTTCTTAAGTACTTTGTCTCATAAATGTGAATGGATTAAAAGTCTAAGCCCTTAACTCTGGCCCGGTACAGTTTTGAGAGGTAGCAGGTCATGTAACGCTTGAAGAGGAATGTTCTTATCCTAATTTGTGGGTCCTAGGGACAGGGGAGAGAGCCTAACTAAGGGGACAGGAAAACATTCCTTCCCCTCCTGATAGAGCACAGAAGCCTTGTGACTGTGTGTTTGATCCATTGACTGCTCAAGGTGGACTCTAAAACACACTTGGGTTTGAACCGCTACTGTCTATTCCTCTTTTTAAATGATTTTCTCAGGACGCCTGGGTGGCTCAGTTGTTTAAGCAGCTTCCTTCGGCTCAGGTCATGATCCCAGCGTCCTGGGATCGAGTCCCACATCGGGCTCCTTGCTCATCAGGGAGCCTGCTTCTTCCTCTGCCTCTGCCTGCCATTCTGTCTGCCTGTGCTTGCTCTCTCTCCCTCTCTCTCTCTGACAAATAAATAAATAAAATCTTTAAAAAAAAAAATAAATGATTTTCTCTGCTGCACAGGTGGGGACGAGATTTCACCCAGTAGCACTTAATCCCAAATCATATAATACAAGGTTTTAAAATGTATTTTATGATGCTTGAAGATTATTACAGAGTCAACTAAGTATTAATCACCCACTGGATGTTGAGAACAATGGTTAAAAGAAGTGTAAAACCTCTGGGGTCGAAAGAAGTATAAAAGAGAAGTGTTTTCCCTCGAAGCTTTTTGTCAGTGAGAGGGATTATAGCATATTGTACATGCAATCATTAGAGTCCAGTGTAAGACAGCCCTGATAAAAGCGCTGAAATTTTTAATAGATGTGTTAGAGCAACTGATTAAGGAGAAAGAACCATCATTATAGGACTCGTAAATTTCAACCACTATATTGGGCAATTTTTAGTTACTAGTTACTGGGTTTTGTTTTTTGTTTTTTTTTTTTTTATTTTATTTATTTATCTGAGAGAGAGAGGTCACAAGTGGGCAGAGAGGCAGAGAGAGCGGGGGAAGCAGGCTCCCTGCCCGGCAGAGAGCCCAATGCGGGGCTTGATCCCAGGATCCTGAGATCATGACCCGGGCTGAAGGCAGAGACTTAATCCACTGAGCCACCCAGGTGCTCCTACTAGTTACTGTTCTTAGGTAAGCACCCAAAAACTCCCATGGGATAGCTAGTTATCCCCATCCTACAGAAAAGGAAACCAAAGCTCAGAAAGTTTAAGCAGCTTGGGGCAGCCGGGTGGCTCAGTCAGTTAAGCATCTGACTCTTGATTTCAGATCAGGTCTTGATCTCAGAGCTGTTGAGTTCAAGCCCCTACTTAAAAGAAAGCAACAAAAAGAAAAGAAAGTTTAAACAACTTGCACAGGTCACATAGTAAGTAGCAGACACGGCCAAGATTCAACCTCTGATCTCCTGTAACCTACTAAGCCTATAAATTATCTTCCCATCTCCCTCTGGGACCAGAATGGGCTGATATAATCAGCAAATCTTCATGGCAAGGGTGTAGCTTGGCTTTAGAGGGTTCTGTAGAAGATTCGATAGGTAGATGGGAGGCAGATGTGTCTGTATTAGTATTCTGGAAGGAAAGAGATGGAAAGCTCAAAGTGGCAATTAAAGAACATTTAATGAAGGGACTGTTTCCACAAGTGGGAAGGTTATGGGAACCTGCAAGGGGAGTGAGGCCCTCAAAACAGTTACCACCTCCAGACTTGAGGGGACAAGGGAATGAATGGCATGGCATGAACCCAGTGTGGCTGCGGGAGGGGAGATTTCCCCCAGCAGCTATGGCCAAGGTTAGAGGTTGCCCTGCCAAACTGCATCCAGGTGGTGAAGGAATAGAGTACAGGTAGAGGAAGCAAACCCAGCCTCTCTCTTCTCAGGTCTCCGGATTTCCTGCTCAGCCTCCTCTGGGCCAAATACATGGGAAATCCAAGGGCAAGGGAGCTCATGTGGTACAGTCTGTAGTGGTCAGCCTCAAGGTGCAGAGCAGAGAAGAATGGAGAAGTGATGTGGAACAGAGAGCAGAAGCCCATGTTATTGTAGGGAGCGTAACAGCATGGGCCCAGCCGCAGGACAAGGAGTGCAGCATGGCCTCTGTAGGGGCCTGTGCCGAGCAGCCTCACCGTGTGGAGGGGCTGACCCAGGAGCAGCCTCACTGCATGGAGGAGCTAGTGGGGGGTGGGGGGTGAGGTTGAATAGGCCTGTCCCAGATATCAAGTAGAGGCGCTTGATCTTAACTTCATTCCCTGTAGTGAGCCAGTTTTGTTTCCCATAAGCCAATGTGAATTTATTTCTTTTATAGGCCCAAGATCTAGGGAGAGATCCTAGAAGAATGGTAAAGGGAAGGAAGGCAGGGGACACAGCAGAATGTTTGTGGCTACCCGCCCGTCCACTGGGAGTGTACAAGTGAGTGTGCGGGTTCCCCCACAGGATTCACATGGCTTTTTCTGTGTTCCAGTGACCTATGGGATGATGAGCTCCAGTGCGTACTACTATACCCGGATAATGTCACAGCTCTTCCTGGATACCCCAGTGTCCAAAACAGAGAAAACAAACTTTAAAACGCTTTCTTCGATGGAAGACTTCTGGAAGGTATTTGCAGATGACTTTCAGTGTACCTCTTTACTGTTGAAAATTATTCATTGGGTTTCATAAATTCAAGTCAGCAGTATCCATCTGTAGGACCTACTTTGTGATGCTGTATGAGCTGAAGGCTATGGCGAGGTATTAGACTGAGAACCATGTATGTGTCTTGCACCCTGCTGCATGTTTCGTACCTTCCTGCCTTTAATCCCATAGCAACCATACAAGGCAAGGGCTCCCATTATACCTGGTGGTAGGTGAGGGACGAAGAGTCATTCAGCTTGCTTACACATGATCAGCAAGGGAGAAAAATGGCCTTGTTTCCAGCCTGACAGGCACTTCCTCTCCCTAGTATGTAATTCACTCAGTCATTCATGATTCAGTAAGTGTCTGTTGAGTATCTCCTAGGCTGTATGGCCTATAAGGGCAAGATTTGGTTGTTTTGTCTTGCTTTGGGTTGGTTTTTTTTTTTTTTTTTGTCTTTTGTCTCTTTGTTAATGTTGGCATGTAGCCTAGAACAGCGCCTGATACAAGGCAGGCATGTTCTTTTAGAGATCGTTAATGTGAAGTTCAACCCAGGCCCTTCCCAGATTGTCACAAAATCCAACATGGTAACCAAGGGTAAATTTTGAGTGATACTGTAGGAGAAATGTTAGACTGATCTGGGAGGTGTGGTGCTCAGAACCTAAGAAAATCGAAAGGGAAACTGGAGAGGAAAGACTTGTTTCTTCCTGCAGAGATGCTTTCTAAAGCTCTTACTGAATCCTGGGGTCAGAGCTGGTGGTTGTAAAGATAGAGGAAACCGGACCATATGAACCCATTAATGCTGACACCTAAAAATACTTGGCATCCAAACCCCGTCTCTCCCATCCTCAGCAAATCAAATCAGTTGCTCTCTACTGATTATATAATAAGGATAAGACACTGAGAAACAGCTTCTTCTCCCCTATAGGCAAACTAATGAGAGACTTCTCCAATATGTACAGTTCCATGGTAATGAATGCCAAGCTTGAAAAGCAGGGGCAGTGGCAGGGGTGGGGGCACTTACAGAGTTCACTATAGGCCACAATAATCCAGACACTTGGAAGGAACCTAGATGTCCATCAACAGATGAATGGATAAAGAAGATGTGGTAGGGGCGCCTGAGTGGCTCAGTGGTTAAGCGTCCACCTTTGGCTCAGGTCATGATCCCAGGGTCCTAGGACCAAGCCCTGCATTGGGCACCCTGCTCCACAGGAAACCTGCTTCTCCCTCTCCCTCTCCTCTTGCTTGTGTTTCCTTTCTCACTGTATCTATGTCAAATAAATAAATAAAAATCTTTAAAAATTAAAAAAAAAATGTGTGTGTGTGTGTGTGTGTGTGTGTGTGTATTTTAGAATACTGTGCAGCCATCAAAAGAAACAAAATCTTGTCATTTGCAATGACATGGATGTAACTAGAGGGTAGTATGCTGAGTGAAATAAGTCAATCAGAGAAAGACAATTATCATATGATCTCTCTGAATCAAGGAATTTGAGGGGTAGGGCTGGGGGGTGGAGGGTTTATGGAGAGGGTGGCTGGGTGATGGACATTGGGGAGGGTATGTGCTATGGTGAGTGCTGTGAGATGTGTAAGCCTGATGACTCACAAACCTGTATCCCTGGGGTAAATAATATATTATATGTTAATAAAAAAATAAAAATAAAAAAATAATACAGACACTTAAATGATCCACCAGATGGCAGACTGGTAACCAAAACTAGTGTTTTCCTCTCCAGACAAGTTTGGAACCGGGATTATGTAGGATGCTGTGGGTTTTTTGTTTTGTTTTGTTTTGTTTTAAAGATTTTATGTATTTATCCAAGAGAGAGAGACAGGGATCAGAAGCAGGCAGAGTGGTAAGCAGAGGGAGAGGGAGAAGCAGGCTCCACACCGAGCTGGGAGCCCGATACGGGGCTCCATCCCAGGACCTTGGGATCATGACCCCAGCTGAAGGCAGACGCTTTATCGACTGAGCCACCCAGGTGCCCCCAGGATGCTGTTTTAATAAGGGAAAGTAAAATTGATCATACTTGTGGACTTATGTGAATCCCCCCCACACACACCTTTAGTCCTAGCATAAAAATCTGAGTTGCCCTTTGTTAAGCACCTACTGGAGACCAGGGTAGCAGCCATGCAGAGGATGGATATTATAGATGCAGGAACCTTGGCTCAAAGTTGGATCCTGCTGAAGGCCTCACAGCTAGCAAGTGACAGAGCAAGATCCAATCCCAGCAAAACCCACCCTTGTCACTCTGCCGTGTTTACAGAGTTCCCAGACTCTTGGTCATGCAAACATTCCAGGAAAGAGCAAAACAGCCATTAAGCTTGGGGCTCTTCAAAAAACTTTTCCACAATGCTTCCTTCACTTTCAGTTCACAGAAGGTGCCTTACTGGATGGGCTTTACTGGAAGACTCAGCCCAGCAACAGAACGGAAGCTGACAACCGAAGCTTCATCTACTACGAGAACCTCCTGCTAGGGGTGCCACGTATCCGGCAACTCAAAGTCAGAAATGGGTCCTGTTCGATCCCCCAGGACTTGAGAGATGAGATTAAAGAGTGCTATGATGTCTACTCGGTCAGTAGTGAAGACAGGGCTCCTTTCGGTCCAAGAAATGGAACTGCGTAAGTATCAGTGCCCTGGCTTCTCATTCACTCCCTCGTTCATTCATTCATCCTCTAACCCCTTAACCAAGGAGAAGATGCTTTAAGTGAGTCTTCAGTGCTTAGACTTAAGACCATGGCCAAATTGGCCTTTGGTTTCTCAAGTTTTTTCTACTTTTTACCCCCTTCGGCTCCTGCATACGTATTTTTCAAAAGACTAAATTGTTGACCATATGGCCCCCAAGAAGGCAGCTACCTGGGCCTTTGGAGGTTTCTTTGAAGATGCCTGAATCCTTTTTTTCTAGATCCGGGGACGACATTCACTGGGTTGTTACTGAGAACTGTTCTGGTGTGGAAATTCTCATGTTACTAGCATTTACAAATACATTTTGGTTCAAAGTAGTTACAGGTATTTAAAGTGTATAATAAGCTTGTGAGGCAGTTTTGTGTCTGGTTGAAAGCCTGTCCTCTCAAATGTGTGTTTCTGATTTTGAGTAGGTATTGTTCCTGTGCATATTGGCACAGATTTTGGGTGTTCTTTCGTAACCATACCTATAACATCTTGTGTATTAAGGGAGGATAGTCATTATTTTTAGAATTACTGCAGTTATTATAAAGAAATAAGAAGAATGCTCAAGCTGTCCCAAGGTGGGCCTCTTAGGGTCAGTGCCCCTGGGGGAGTCACTGTGGTTAAAATTGTCTTCTACACTTTACTAATTAATTCTGTCAGTTCATCTAGATCCCTCTCTTGAACTGAGACAGCCAGACTCCAGATTTGTTCATAGACAGTGAGGCAGCCAGCCTTCCTGTGATCAGATTCTTTGTCTGTCATCCAGTGGATATCTTATTTAGGACCAGAGTCCCTAAGGAACACACTAAGTAAAGGTCAGAAGATTCAGCATAAAGGGATCAAATCATCCCAAAAGATGTTTTGTCCAGGTTTAATATTTTACTCTATTTCATATCATTAATAAGAGAAGTGGATGCAGCCACTTACCAGATGCTATTTAAGAAGGGTTTTCATGCATTGTCTCATCTGCTTTCACAAAACGACCTGAAGTACATGTCATCTCCATGTTGTTGATGAAAAAACTGAGGCTGACTTACCCAAAGCATCACAGCTCGCAAAGGGAACCATGCTGGGATTTAACCAGCCTGACTCCAAAACCTGTGATTCTTCCACTAAACCACATTGCTCCTTCCATAGTAATTACGCTCTTGGGGTCGCTCTTGGTCTCCCTCAGCTCCTCATCAGTATTCAGGCTTCTGGACCACGGGGGCTATATTCCATTCACTGCTGTATTCTTACAGCCTTGACCGCTGGCTGGTATCTAACACTGCTCTGTAAATACCCACCGGGGCATAGATGAGTGCGTGATTTCCACTACAGGATGGACCGCCCCTTGATTCTGCCCTATTCTCAAGTTACTCCCATTTCTCCTTCCGTTCAACTCCACAAGCGTCTGGAAAGAATAGCCTTCACTTGCCACTTCCATTCCCTTACCACTGATTCACTCCTTAAAGCTTAAACTTTGTGCTTCTGACATCTCAGAAGCCACCAGTGGATTTGTTGAATTTGCCAACCCAAGGACCAATTCTTTTCTTTTTTTAGAGATTATTTATTTATTTATTAGAGACACAGCAAGAGCAGGAACACAAGCAGGGGAAGTGGGGGAGGGAAAGCAGGCTTCCCGCTGAGCAGGGAGCCGGATGGGACCCTGGGATCATGACCTGAGCCAAAGGCAGATGCTTGATGACTGAGCCGCCCCGGTGCCCCACAGTGACCAGTTCTTGATCTTCATCCCATCCAGCCTCTGCAGAACTCGGCCATGCTGATCGCTCGTTTGACTTCTGAGAGTGACACTAAACTTGGCGTTCCCTTCATTTTGTAATGCCCCTCTTAACTCTCCCACTTCTCTCTTATTCCTGGGTTCTATATTCAGATCTCTAGCTTTTCTTCCTTTACGTTCTCTCCCTTGGCATTCCAGTGACTTCCTCTCCCATGCCTGTTTGATAATTTATCGTTTCTTCAACAAGTATACAGAGTGTTAACATGTGCCAGCCTTTTCTCAGTGAAGTCTCCCTCTTCTAGAAACACCCTTGGTGCTGGCTGGGGTGACAAAGCAGCAGGAAACAAAACAGAAACAAATCCCCTATCTTTACAGAGCTTATGTTCTAGTGACAGGAAACAAAAGCCAAATCTATATCCTACCTTTGTCCTACCAGCTCCTTTTCATTATCCAAAAAGAGAATCTCCAGTCATTTTCTCAGATGTCCCTTCTCCCTTGCTCCAGCTTCCAAGTCAGAGGCCACATTCTGCTGACAGTCACTGCAGTATCCTCTGTCCATCCTTCCTGTCCGTCTTCCTGTCCTCCTCTCATTGCTCTGGCTCAGGCCTCATCAGCTCCTCTGAGTAGTTGCAGCCACTGCTAACCGAGCTGTGTCAGTGCCCAGGACCACTCCCAGGCTCAGGGGTGCGCCGGAAGGATTCGCAGCGTTCGTCATCCAGTCGTGTTCATGGCCAGCTTCAACGCAATGAAAGGATAAAAGCAAAAGCAGCAGAGGGTCCAGGCACATGGGGGAAGGTTTGGAGGAAACAACATGCAGGCTTCCAGAAGCCCTCTCCCAGCGGAGTCACACAGGACACACTGAATTCCTCCAGGAACAAGCTATGACAACATGTATGAACTGTTGTGTGTCAGAGAGGCTCATTAGAGACTCGGTGCCCAAGGTAGTTGCTGGCTGCTGGTCACATAGGCAGCCACTGCCTGGCAGAATGCCAGGCTCCCAGAAGGCAGGCAGGCATTGGGCGTAAGCCACTGTGTTTGTGCTGATGGTCTAGGCACAATCACTTTTTCCAGTCACACAATGTTTTTGTTGGTTTTTTTTTTTTTTAAGATTTTATTTATTAGAGAGCACACACCTATGAGCGGGTTGGGGTGGGATGGGGGGGATGAGGCAGGGGAGAGGGACAAGCAGCCAGTCAGACAAGTTGGTCAGATAAGTTTCATATCAGTGTAGGGAGCCTTTTATCAAGTTCCAGATGCCAGCCAAGGTGCAGCTTGCTAGCGGGCCTTCCTAGGGAAAAGCGGTCTTAGACCCGCTGTGGCCACATTTTTCTACATGTGAGCCTCCTGTTCTCACCACTCCAGTCTTTCCTGCTGCCACCAGAGGAACCCTGTTCTGTGCCTCTCAGAAACCTTCCCTCAGTGACCCCTTCCCTCACAGTCTGATCACCTTCTACCTTTCAGCCTTCTTTCTTCATGTACGTAGGCTGACCTAGCTGGGTGCCTTGTACTTCTCCCCACCCTCCACCCCTCCCAACCCCCTGCCCCCCACCTCAGGCTTGAAAATGCCCTTCCCATCCATGGGTGCCTGCCTGAATCCTATTTACCTTTCACAGCCCAGGTCCACTGTGGCTTCTTCCAAAAGCTTTCTCTGATGCACCTTCCCTGTCACTGGATGCCTGGACAAGAACAGCTTTCCTCTGATTTGCCTGAGAAATTTCTTTTACTTTTCTTGGACATCATCCATCTACCTTGTATTTGAATTGTTTCATGTCTTTTCTCTCCCTCTTTACTATAAATGAGCAGGAAAGGAACTTGGTTCATCTGTATATCCTTATTAATGCCAAAGAAGCATCTGGTTCCCAAGAGAGCCTCTGCCAATATTTGTGGATTAAATTCCCAAATGCCCTGGAAAGCTTGAGTGGCTCAGTTGGTTAATGTCAAACTCCTGATTTCAGCCCCAGTCTTGATCTCAAGGTCCTGAGATCGAGCCGCATGTTGGAATCTGCACTGGTCGTGGAGCCTGGTTAAGATTTTCTCTCTCTCTCCCCTGACTCCCTCTGCTCCCCACCACTCTCTCTCCCCCTCTCAAGTTAATTAGTTAATTAATTAATTCCCAAATGCCCTGTGGAGTCTTATTTGGTTCAGTTGCCATTTGTGGTACTTGATGAACTTGTACCTCTTGCCTGCAATTTTCTGAGAGCCTAGAGTCATCTAGCTCCTGAGTATAGTTACCCATATAGACTGAGTGCTAATAGCACAGATTCTAGAGACTCTGGCCTGGTGTGGGTTCCTGACAATAACCTCAGAAGCTGTGAGATTGAGTGGACCTCACTAAGCTTCAGGGTTCTCATTCCTAAAATGGAGATAATAAGTGTATGAGAGTTAAATAAGAAAACACGAAGCCGCCCACCAAGCATGTTACCCAACTGGATAAGACTTAATTTGATTTATTACATACTCTGTTATGCGGGGAACCATCTGTCTTTGTAATTGCCATCAAGTGTTCCACTGATTGTTTTGTTTTCCTTTTGTCTTTTAATTAGTTGGATATACACAAGTGAAAAAGACTTGAATGGGAGTAGCCACTGGGGAATGATTGCAACCTATAGCGGAGCTGGCTATTATCTGGATTTGTCAAGAACAAGAGAGGAGACAGCGGCTCAGGTTGCCAGCCTCAAGAAAAACGGCTGGCTGGACCGAGGAACCAGGGCCACTTTTATTGATTTTTCGGTATACAACGCCAACATTAACCTGTTCTGTGTGATCAGGTGTGTACCAAGGGCACTGATCCCTCCCATGTCTGTGTACTTGTAAGTACATCCCAGTCCTGAGAGAGACCAGGAAACCATTGCTGCATTTGGCTAAAAGAGAATGCCGAGGGTCGGAGCAATAGCAAGGGAAGGGGGGACACCAAAGGCTTAGTGGGATAAATATATTTGGTGCAAGTGAGTTAGGATCCTAGAATATTATGAGTTGGGAAGAAACGTAAGTCTGGTCCAAGTTCATCCCAAAGCTGAAACCTTCCCAGAAAAAGCACTGTGTTTTGCATCTATTCTTACTTGTTGTAAGATGATGGGTGCTCTATGCTCCTTTACCACGGCCTCTGGCCATCAAACCTCGACTCCTTTCCAAGTTTCCCACTCTCAGATGATACTGTTCAAGAACACAAGCACAGCCATCAGGGGCTATGCCTGGGTTCAGGAGGATACCCAGGTATCTGCTTACACACAAGATTCACCAAAGGCACATAAAGTTCCTTCTCAGATCCTATGACATTGCCATCCTGATCACTCTGGTTAGCAATGAGAAAACTGACAAAAATCCTGCGGACTTGTCTGGAGCCTTGTGTTCATTTATTCACTTATTTGGCAAACATTTATTGGACACTTAGTATGTGTGAGGCACCGTTCTCAGCTCTGGGGACACCGTAGTAAACAAAGCAAAGATCCCTCATCTTCCAGAGCTTGTGCTCAACCAGGAGGAGATGGATAATAGACAATAAGCTAAAGAAACAAATTAATAAAGTGGTATATTAGAAGGTATATGTAATATGTAATATAAAAAAGGAAAAAAGTAAAACAGGTCCAGAGGGATCCAGAGTTCACCCCCTTGAATCCTCCTGGTGAATGTGTCAGCAACACCCAGACGTAGCTGGCATGAATTTCTTGCACATATATTCACCAACCAAAAAGAAGGATAAATTCTCATACTTTCCTTATTTTGTGATTATTTTTGAGGCTAAACGCATGTCAGCTTTACATGGCCAGTTGGATTTTTCCAGACCGTGTATTTAACAACCTTTGAAGGAAATAGTATCATAATAAGTCATATAAGAGTTATTACTAGAAGTGAATGAAAACCGATTTTAATTATTATTGAACTTTTCCTTGTGATTTCAGTCTGACTAGAAAGAGGATAAAAATAGGCACTCAACTCTGATTGACATTTAAGGGAATTTCTATAGAAGGCCCTGAGTATGTCTTCCATGTCCTCCCCATACTTTACGAGTGAATATCGTCAAGGCGATTATTTCATTTCTCGATGCTGCTGTCTGTGTTTCTGGAGGGGTTGACAGATGCAGGGCCAGACCAGGACAGAGAGAGGACTCGGCACACAGAGGCTACTTTCTGCCCTTCCTTGACCAATTCTAATTTGCCCTTGTCTCTGCCTGGACCTGATTATTGCTCGGGTCCTAGACACGTGGGCTCCAGGTGCAGCTAATAACAGTCCTGCAAAGAGAGAGACGGTTATACCTACTAGTTGACTGAAGGTCATTTGAAAGTCTTAAAGCGAAGGAGCTAGGTAGTCTATTTCTAGTATGATAGGGAAGCTGTACGATTAAACGAATCATTTAACTTTCTCACTGTGACACCTCCGAAATGGGAATTTGTCAAGAAACATCCTCACTTCAATTATACTAAAACACTAAACATCAGTGCCATCAGTATAAATGTAAAAAAATACACGTTACTGTTTTAGACTATCAGACATTTGCTGAGCACCTATTAATTATAAGGCTCTGTGAAGGATAGCAAGAATATCCCCTAGGACAGATCATTCAGTGCTAGTTAGGTGATACCAAATGAATGAATAGAAACCCAGTTCGTGCATATATACACATACATACATGTACATCCACACACACATGTACACATCCACACACACACACATATCCTGCTTCTCAATAGGCCATACGCATTTGAATGCATGAGTTAGATTTCTTATGTTCTTCATTGCCTAGTTGAATTACTTGCATTTAATAGAAGTCCTAGAAAGGCTTGTTTGTTGATTAACTTCTACATTAAGGAAAAAAAAAACCTATAGAGCATTTTGAGCAGTATAAATACCAGAAAAGTAAAGGTGAGAGTGAGAAGGAATAATCTCTTTAGGAGGACTTGGGAAGCCTTGTACAAGTGCGTAGTTACTAGCTGTGATAAAAAATATTGTGCCCCCAGCCTGGGGTGACTTGTGGTTACAGTTTTAATCCCTTATTAGGCAGGGACAGACTCGATGGATGTCCCTTTCCTGGCTGCATCCATGTGCTGTTGTTGTTACTGTTTTAATTGTTCTTATTGCAACGCAGGTTATTGGTTGAATTCCCAGCAACAGGCGGTGTGATTCCATCTTGGCAATTTCAGCCTGTAAAGCTGACCCGATATGTCACAACTTTTGATTTCTTCCTGGCAGCCTGTGAGATTATCTTTTGTTTTTTGATCCTTTACTATGTGGTGGAAGAGATCTTGGAAATTCGCATTCACAAGCTACACTATTTCAGGAGTTTCTGGAATTGTCTGGATGTTGTGATCGTTGTGGTAGGTTTGAGAACACCACCGAATTCCCTCCTCCGTTATAAAAACATGTTAATTAGAGTCCTTGATGTATCTCCTCAGTACTGTGGATCCTGATATTCCTAAAGGAGAATCTGAACGTTTTGCTCTGCTGTTTCAATCTCAGTGTTACTAATTATTTTTGCATTTTGCGTGAGTAACCCTTCTGAATATAGAAGTAGAGAGTTGTTTACGATAAGTTGTCAGTTAGCCACACTAATAACAAGAATAACTTAGTGGGGGACCTGGCTGGCTCAGTTGGAAGTGCATGTGACTCTTGACCTCAGGGTCATGAGTTCGAGCCCCATGTTGGGTGTAGAGATTACTTAAAAATTAATGAACTAATTATTTTTTTAAAAAATGAGAGATCCATATGTGCTGATACAGCAGGAGTTCTAAGACATTAAAAGAAAGAAGAAGAACTTAGTAATTCATATTTGCCTTTGGCATGCCATGTGAGACAGGGAGAAAAGAATGTTTTGTTTATTCTTTTTTTGTTATTGTTAATGATATTTTTTTTCAACTACTAGCAAAAATCATTTTGTATGTTTCGGCACATGTGTAAAGTTATAGCAAGAAGGAACATCTTGAAAATATTTGGGGTGGCAGAGAACGCCTCCCTGCAGTTTGAAATTTCCCGCAAGTAGTCCAGTGTACAAAATACCAGTGAGGAACCATCAGGGTTTTCTGTATCAGGTACAAGAAATCAGAAGGCAATGAGGATAGAGCCGAGACTAGGACACCCTGTAGATCCCCTATCGCCCTTGACTTTATTATAACATCTTACACTTGTTCAACATGGTTTGCCTTCGCATCATCCTCATCACTTTCTTCCAGGGTCCTCACTGCAGACATGCATTTTTGCCAGTCTTTCTCCCTTGACCAAGAACACATAATCTTTTACTGAGTCCTCTTACACACTGAAGCACATAAGGACATGCTTAATTGTCACATGCCTCAAAGTCCATCCTCCCCACTGTCCGCTGACAGAGATGCTCCCCAGAGTCTCAATAAGGGGTGCATTGCCCTATCAGGTTTCTGTCTTCTGTTACCCTACTTCTTGGCCATTACTCTTCCCCTGCCCCCTAACAACCAAAAATTCATCTGGGCTTTGTGAAGCATTTACATCAAGTCATTATCAAATTATCACTAGAATTAGCTGGCAAAATATAGAAAATATGTTCTGGAATATGTTATTGAGATGTTTTAAATATAGGAAAATGTTACATGTGAGTAAAAGAATGCTCAAGACATTGACGAGAACTATATAGATCTGTACTGCATGACGATAACATTAACTGGAGCAATAATAGTAATAGTAATTGCTAACGCTTTAGAAGTGGTGTGTGTCAGACACAGTTCCAAGTGCTTTTCATATCCAGATATACACTGAGTTCTCAGAGTAACCTTAGCCACTCTGCCATTGCCTCTCAAGCTACATGTCTATGTAATTCAGAAAGAGCTTTTACTTAAAGCAAAAGTTCCTATAGAATATGGGGTAGAACCCATTTGGCCTAGATGCATTCAGAAGGGCATCCCTTCTCTCACAATGGCTGTGTAACATCACGCCGTTCCTGGAGGTAAACTCTTGATCCCCGAATTCTCAGTATATTAATAACTGTAACAAAGGAATTTCACCATTTAGGGAGGCAAGAAAGGCAAGGATACTGGAAGTAATTTTCCAGAATATTTCTGTACTGCATGATGGAAGAGTGTGGGTCCATACACATAAAAATTATTCTAGAAGACAATTAACGTTTGGAACTCTAACTGCCTTTTTAGTTTATATGGATGTATTTATAGTTAAGTCATTGAGAATAACAGTAAAAAGGTGAGTGTGAGTGTGATATTATGCTAATTAATGGCAGGTTTGTTTGGGTTTTAGCCAAATACCTTCAATATCAGCAAAAGAATAGTCAGTCGGTGGCCATCCGCCTCTTCGATTATGTACCTATCAGTGAAAACTTTAATAACACACCCTAATGTATTCCATTTATTTATAAACTGTGTTTGTGTGTGTGTGCATGTGTGTGTGTGGTATAATAGGTACATTTGTGAAAACACACACAACATAGGATTTGAAAGATTGGGTTAAAAAAATACAAGTAGAACTCTTAACACTTTCTTTTCACTTGGATAGAAGTTTTCATATTTTCTTTTCAAACCCTAGGGAATGGCCTTGTACCCACTTCAGAGAAAATAGCTGTTGATATCATGGAATTTGAGGGTAGTTTTTTGGCTCAGTGGCTACAACATTTTGCAAGTATTTCTTTGAAAACTTGCTTCATTGTTCTATTGTTCTTTTTTTTTTTTTAAACTCTCAGTACTGCCAAGAAAACAATTCAGACAGTGTGCTTTTATAAAGAATAAGGAAAGGCTACTGGAATCCTCCTTCTCCTTTGAAACCTTCTGACCCAGCAGAAACAAGGGCACGCCTTCTGCTCACCCTCCAAAATAAGCCCTATGCACAGGACCTTCAACCCCATGAAAAAAGCAAAGGCATTTTTATCAGGCTAAGGCACACCTGAAACTTGAAAAGTAATTCTACCCTAAATATAAATATAACATCTTGGAATCACTTTGAAATCATTTTTCCTGTTATCCTTTTTTTTCTTTTTTTTAATAATTTTTTAAATTTTTTATAAACATATAATGTATTATTAGCCCCAGGGGTACAGGTCTGTGAATCTCCAGGTTTACACACTTCACAGCACTCCCCATAGCACATACCCTCCCCAATGTCTATAACCCCACCACCTTCTCCCTACTGCCCCCCCAGCCCTCATCCTTTTGTTTCTTTAACAAAGGCTCTGAAATCTGTGGACTTAGTTTAGTCAACCTATTTGACCTAAACAGTCTTTCTAGCAGAGTTACTGATAAAAAGAAGACTATCAAGGAGTCTAAAATCAGGGCGCCTGGTGGCTCAGTTGGTTGAGTGTCTGCCTTCGGCTCAGGTTATGATCCCAGAGTCCAGGGATCCAGCCCTATATAGGGTACTCCCTGCTCAGCAAGGTTCCTGCTCTCTCTCTCCCTCTCAACTTGTGCTTTTTGTCTCTTGCTCTGTCTCGGTCTCAAATAAATAAAAATCTTTTTTTTTTTTTTTTTAAAAAGGTCTAAACTCAAATTATTTTGTTGATTGGTAGGCTTCAGGGGTGAAAATGATTAATTCATTTATTCAACAAATATTTTCTGAGTGCATACTATGTGCCTGGCATTGTTCTAGGCATTGGGGATATAGGACTGAACAAAACAATCCACACCTCTGCCCTTAGGAAGCTTACATTAAGGAAGGAAAGTTCTTTTGTAGATGGGGATGGAGAATCCCAAAGAAAACTCAGGAGGACATAACTCAAGTGCTTACAGAATCTCTTTCCCTCATCTCTTTTCTCTCATTCTCTATTTTGATGAAGAATTCTGTAGGAAATTCAGTGTGTTGGTAAGATATTAACGTTGTTTAAATGACCACATCTTGGGTACAAGGCAGTTGTCCCTCGTGAGAGTTGGGTAAAGGGTTATTGTTGTTTAAGTCAGTCAACCCTTCCCTCTCAACTAAGTTAACATAACAAAATATTTTCGGTGTATTCCAGAGAACCCAAAATATTCCCACCACCAGCACAGAAATCCAAGATTTGCTCTGGGGATCCTTCACAGAAAAAGAAAAGGTGGTGAGGTTGGCTTTTTTCAGCTGTGGTTGGTAGCCAGGCAGGTCTTTGCTATGATAACCACCTGGAGCCATGATTTGGACAGCCATCTCCAGAATGACTAATGAAGTGGCCTTTGACCATCATGCATGAGGAGAGAAAGGGAATGAACAGCAAAGGTCTCAGCACCTGTGACGGCCCACCTGCTGTGGCTTCAGGCCCCACAGGAGGCCCAGGTTGCAATGGTGAACCTCTGACACTTTCCACATCTACACATTAATCCAGTGGCAATGGATGAAGTAGGGCCCAATGTTCTCCTGAGATGTGGTTTTAGAACCCAGAACTGAAGCCAATGTGAAAAGTTGCATGGTCATAAATTAAGGGAGAGAAGTGAGCAGGAGGGAAACCCTTGGCTCACATATATTCCCACAGCAAATCTTGAGTTCTCTCTCACCCATCATCCCCACCATCTTTCAAGACCAAGGATCTTCTTTCCTCTTAAGAGCACTCTTTTGATACGTCTTATTTCACCCTTCACCTTATGTAGTGTGATGTCGGTTCCTTCCTAGGTCTTTGTGTTACTTATTTTTGCATGTGTGCCTCGTCTTGAACCAGAGCATGAGTTTCTTGAGAACAGTTTGTGCATCTTACTTCTTACTTACTTAGGTCTTAGCCTCGGCACTGTACTGTGTACATAGGTACTCATATTTGTTGAATAGTGGAAAGAATGTATGGCTGGTGGTTGAAAACAAGCAAAAACAAAGCAAGATGAGGCTGAGAAAGCAGAAGGGTGGAAAGTTATTTAGATGAGGGTGGCAGAAAAAAAAAAACAAGGCATTCCTGTTTGATTTTGTAATAGAGCAACTTATCGTGTGTGTGTGTGTGTGTGTGTTTGCATGTGCATGCGTGCACACACATACATGTGCACTCACTGGATTTCTCTTCCTAGCTAAGGGAATGTAAGTGGTTTATTGTTATACCTGTTTTGGGCCGTGCTCAACACCTGTCATTTGTATGAATGATTTGGATAAGTAGATTGGTGAACCCTAGGACTAATACATGGGTGAGGAAAAATAGTTGTTTTAAGGTAAGTTACACGTTTCTAAAACACTGTAATGATACATAAATCTTCTGTTTTCCAGCTGTCAATGGTAGCTATAGGAATTAACATACATAGAGCATCAAATGTGGAGGTGCTGCTACAGTTTCTAGAAGATCAAAATACTTTCCCCAACTTTGAGCATCCAGCATACTGGCAAATACAGTTCAACAATATAGCTGCTGTCATCGTGTTTTTTGTCTGGATTAAGGTAATTTACAAATTTCATGTCCTGGATTTTCGATAATATTTTTCTCTTCTTTTTACTAACATGAGTTAACATAAAATGCTGGAGGACCTGAATTTGCTTTTGTGGCCAAATTCGAACAGCCAGCTGTAGCCGCTTCCTATCTTACAAGTAAACTAGCAGGATCCATGTGATCCTTCCTCTCGTTTTGAATGACCTGACCTGCTCTCTTCCAAGACCTGTCCCTGCAGGTTTGTTTAACAGATGTGGTAAAGAGCCCTTCTCAAGGTAATCTTGGCCTGGGGCCCTAGGCTACACTAACACAGAGACTGGTCTGAGTTTCACCTGATATCGTGTGACCAGGGGAAGGAAAAGAAACTAAGAATGAGGAATGCAGATGGGAAGGGATGGGAAGATGCAATGGAAATGGTCTACAGTGGGGTAAAAGAGGGGTCCACCCTCTTTTCGGGGTGGAGGCCATACGGAAGTTTTACCTAGAATTGAGGTTGGGACAGATACATACTCTTCCAAGTAGTACCTTAATTACTCGTTTCCTTCTTTCTTGAAACGTAATGTGCATTTCCATGTATGTGAAAGGTTAGGGCATCTCATATGCAAATGAGCCTCAATGCTGGAGATGCAGGAAATTTTAGTAATAACAAGGCAACTGCCAGCATGTTACCTGTGACGATCTAGGATTCTGCTAACTAGGCAGCAGCTACGAGCCACAAGTGGCTGTTAAATTGAAATTTTAATTAGTTAAAATCACATACCATTAAACATTCAGTTCCTGTGGCATTCTAGCCACATTTTAAGATCTCAGGGTCTGTATGTGGCTGATGGCTACTATACTGGACGGTCGAAATAAAGAACATTTCCATCGTGACAGAAAGTTTTATTAAACAGCACTGTTTTAGAAGCTACTCACCAACAGTTACTTTTTCCCCTGAATTGGTATTCACACCTGGAAGTCCTGCGGTTTATCAGAGGGTGCAGGCCTCGTCCTCTATCTCTCGTGCTATTTATTTAGGTACGTGCTTATTCAGGAAAAACCACCGCTCGCACACCAAACCTTTAGCACAAAATAGTAATAATAATCCAAGTCCAATAGGAATTAAGTAATGTGATTGAAACAACCCTCAAAAAATGTTTCTTGTGGCCCGAATCAATGTATAAGAGCTCTTTACGTAAAATTCTAGAAATTTCCTTCCAATTTGTGCCTCGGGCTAAGCATTTTACTTAGTGCTTTGCTTGTAACTATTCTGCTTCCGAAACTTGAAGAACCATTAAAGTTGTTTAGGGCAGGGCCTGTGACTCGACTTCTAATGTATCCCCCTAATGGTCTTCCCTCAGGACTTCGCGCTAGAGCTCCTGAGGTTGTCTGGCCTCTGACCAGCAGCAACCTGAACAGCCATCCTTAGTGTCTTGCCTACAGAAATGTTCACTGTGGCTTTGGCATCCAACAGAGCTGGGTTCTACTGCTAGCTCTGAGTACTTGCTGCCTCCTGGAGACAGGATACCAGTATTTCAATGTCATTGCAAAGATTTGAGTCAGTATACATAGTATACATAGCCCTTCCCTATGTCTGGCACGTAGTCACTAAATAATGAATGATAGTTAATAACATGCAGTAAGTATTTCCTGGAGGAGGTTTTTGTTTTTCTTTATTAACTTTCACATATGGGTTTTTTTTTCCTCTTTTATTTTAATCTTTCTTAGGGGAGGAATATCCCCAATCCTCTTAATTATGATTTGAACCTGTTTCTACTTGCCACCATCACGTCAAATGTTAGCAACATCAGGGCAGGCCTTTGTTCTGTTCTCTGCTGTTCCCAGCTCCAAGAACAGTGCCTGGCACATGGTAGGCACTCAACAAATACTTTTTGAACAAGTAAATAGAAATTACTGGGTTTGGGGGGAAAAAAGCAAGTCAAAAAAGCACTCTCATCCAAAAATATTGTTGTAAAATAACATAAAACTGATCACTTTTACCATTTTTAAGTGTACAAGTCAGTGGCATTAATTACATTCACAGTGTTGTCCAACCATCACCATATGCATTTCCAGAACTTTTTCATCATCCCAACTGAACTCTGTATCCAGTAAACACTAACTACAAATTCCCCCCTTACCCCAGGCCCTCGTCACCTCGTCTGTCTCTATGAATTTCCATATTCTAGCTACTCCGTGTTGGAGCAGTCATACAATAGTTGAGGTTTTTTGTGTGTGTCTGGCTTATTTCACTTCGCATAATGTTTTCAGGGTTCATTCATGTTGTGACCTGTATCAAAATTTCATTCCTTGGTAGGGCTGGATAACATTCCATTGTGCATATCTACCACATTTTGTTTACCTATTCATCTATTGATATCTTCCCTCTGTTACAGCTCTTCAAATTCATCAACTTTAACAGGACCATGAGTCAGCTCTCCACAACCATGTCTCGGTGTGCCAAAGACCTCTTTGGCTTTGCAATTATGTTCTTCATTATTTTCTTAGCATATGCTCAGTTGGCCTACCTCGTCTTTGGCACTCAGGTTGATGACTTCAGTACTTTCCAAGAGTGTATGTAAGTATATATGATATTAAAAAGAAAAATTTAATCAGAGATGTTACTGTCTTCTTAAGTTTAAAGAAATCTTCATGGGTGCTGTTTAATCAACAAGTATTTTAAAATAGTTATTTAAAAATAAGGATTTATTATCTTTCCCGGAAGTGATGGCCCACCCATGCAGAGATGGCAGTGCATAATGCCAAAAAGCTTCAGAGAGCAGCTCTGAAGTAATGAGACATAGCAGAACAGCTATAGTGAACCAATATTGTTACAAAGATGGAGGGCTTCTCAGCACCGAGTGCAGATGGCAGCTTTTAAGAGACATTTGCCTATATTTTCATTCTTATTCAGTATTGTTGCCATATGTTTTAAATTTGGAGGTTTTTTCCTAAGAAAAAAATAGTATTTCTAATATTCTAAGAGCAACTCAAATCGGTACAGGAATTTTTCAGTCATCCAAAGTTCTCAAATATGATATGAAGACTAAATAAATAAATAAATAAATAACCGTATTAGATTTCCATGCCATTTAGAAAGGAGTTAGTTAGGAAAGAAAAGGATTATGGTAATAGAAGTTAATAGGACTTTGTACTGGAGGAAAGCTAATTAATGTCACTGTTTGATGAAAGTCAGGAACGGAAATAATTTTACTGATTAAGACCCAGAATTGGCAACCCATGGCCACTCAGTACCACTTTGAGTGCATGTGGGGATATTGGATCTTTGAATGCATACAATTTTGGCTGTCCTTCAAGTCTTTTTTTTAAGAGGTTTTAAATTCAGAACCAGGGTAACTGTTGTGAAGTTTAGAGTTACCATGTTTTAGCCAGATTATGTGTTAAGTTCTTATAGCTGATTGCTTTGTGTCACCTAATAATATTATTATATTTTCCTTTTAACTAAATGGAAATAACATATTTGGCATGAAAGCATATTATTTTTATTCCAGAGGCTTCAGTTGGTCATATAAGTAGCAGGAGTTTTCCAAGGGATTGACAATTTTCTATTATTTGGCAGTTATCTATACGGATAAAAACGTCCAAAAGTGTGAGATCATCTTTAAGGAAAGTTACGTTAATGCTGGCCATTCTTTGTTTTTGTATTGTGGTGTTTTGTTTTGTTTTGTTTTTATAGTTTCACTCAATTCCGTATCATTTTGGGTGATATCAACTTCGCAGAGATTGAGGAAGCTAATCGAGTTTTGGGACCAATTTATTTCACTACATTTGTGTTCTTTATGTTCTTCATTCTTTTGGTATGTACACTTTTGTTCATAATGAGGTGATTTAAACTTCATAAATCACCATCATAAAATCACCATCTTCCTTTTTCTGTCACTCTCTAGGGTCCTTATCATTTTTTTTTAAAAAGACCCAGGAATAACTGTAGATATCAGAAGACATTTTTTATTTTACTTCTCATTGATTCAGTTTTAAGTCTTCACCAAATACCTTTTCCATGGTCTTTCATTTATCTATATATAAGTGTCTGTTCAGTGTAAAAAAAATTAGATTACATGCAAATTTATAAAGTCACTTAAAATAGTGCTTTGCCGAAAAAGTAGAATGCTTACACGTGTATGTGCTTTTTTTTTTTTTTTTTAAGATTTTTATTCATTTCACAGACAGATCACAAGTATGCAGAGAGGCAGGCGCGGTGGGGGCGGGGAGTGGGAAGCAAGTTCCCTGATGAGCAGAGAGCCCGATGCCGGGCTCAATCCCAGGACCCTGGGATCATGACCTGAGCCGAAGGCAGAGGCTTTAACCCACTGAGCCACCTAGGCACCCCTCTTGTATTTGGTCTTAATCTTAAAAAAAATTTTGTTTAATTTACTGAGCAAAATATTCCAATCCCAGGACCCTGGTATCATGACCCAAGCCAAAGGCAGAGGCTTTAATCGGCTGAGCCACCCAGGGGCCCCTGCTTTTTTTAACACAGATGTCAGCACTTTCATGATCACTTGCTAGCATGACTTTCATTCCTCTTTTTCCTCTTTTCTTTAAAAAAAAAAGGAACTGACAAAAAGCAAGCTAGATCCAGGATGTCAAGAGTACTATTTGAGTGAATTATTGCTTGTGAAGATTAAGATATTTTTGTTTTAACTTAATAATATTTAACACATCCTGGGGTGCCTGGGTGGCTCAGTGGGTTAAGCCTCTGCCTTCGGCTCAGGTCATGATCTCAGGGTCCTGGAATGGAGCACTACATCGGGCTCTCTGCTCAGCGAGGAGCCTTCTTCTCCCTCTCTCTCTGCTTGCTGTTCTGCCTACTTGTGATCTCTCTCTCTGTCAGATAAATAAATAAAATCTTTAAAAAAAAAAAAAATAGGGGCCTGGGTGGCTCAGTGGGTTAAAGCCTCTGCCTTTGGCTCAGGTTATGATCTCAGGTCCTGGGATTGAGCCCCGCATCAGGCTCTCTGCTCAGCAGAGAGCTTACTTCCCTTCCTCTCTCTCTGCTTACCTCTCTGCCTGTCAAATAAATAAATAAAATCTTTTTAAAAAATAATATTTAACACATCTAGAGACTGCCTGCAAAGAACATTCAGATTTTAAATTTAAAGCTAAATGTAGGGACACTTGGATGGTTCAGTTGGTTAAGCAACTGACTCTTTGATTTTAGCTCAGGTCATGATCTCAGGATTGTAAGATTGAGCTCTGTGTCAGGCTCCACACTCAGTGCATACTTGAGATTCTCTCTCTCCCACCCACCCCCAGCTCTTGCTCTTTCTCTAAATAAATAAATAAAAACCTTTAAAAATTAAAAAATACAAAATAAAACTAAATCTAACAATGAGTAGAAATTGCTTTAAAAGTTACTTTCAAAAATAATTTTTCATTCTCTTGATTTTGTACAAATTAACATTTTTAATACTTTGACCCTAAGTTAATTAAGATTTTTGAGGAGGCATTTTGTTCTTCATCTTAGCATTTGCACATTTATTTGTCTACCAAGAAATTATTCAAGTAAGTTAGCTTAATCTAGGCAGTGGGTATTTTTCACCTAAACACTAATACTTAAGACTTTCCTGGGGTGCCTGAGTAGCTCAGCGGGTTAAAGCCTCTGCCTTTGGCTCCAGTCATGATGCCAGAGTCCTGGGATCGAGCCCCACATCGGGCTCTCTGCTCCACGGGGAGCCTGCTTCCCCCTCTCTCACTGCCTGCCTCTCTGCCTACTTGTGATCTCTGTCAAATAAATAAATAAAATCTTTTAAAAAAATATTTAAGTCTTTCCTTACATCAGTCATCATCATAAGAAAACAACAAAATTGTCTCCATTTTCAATAGATTTTATAAGATGCTTTGTGTAAAGTTCAGTAATTCAGTGTACTATCCCCAAAGTTGTTCCAAGAATTTAGTGGTTTTGTATATGGTTAAGCACTATTTATAGACTATTAGAACTACTTTAGTAGGATGGAAAGAGTCAGGAATATGAAATAAGTCCATTTGTATCTTATATGTATGTATCATTAGTTTTATTGAGTTTTTTTTAAAGGATTTATTTATTTATTTTAGAGAGTGGGGAGAGAGCATGAGCAAGGGGAGAGGCAGAGGGCAAGAGAGAGAATCTCAAGCAGACTCCTTGCCAACCTCGGAGGCCAACACAGGGCTCCATCTCATGACCCTGAGATCATGACCTGAGCTGAAACCCAGAGTCAGATGCTCAACTGACTGAGCTAGCCAGGCGCCCCCATATCATTAGTTTTAAAGTGTAACCTCTCTAGTTTCTTTTTCCTGTCATATGTTAAGGGAAACATAGAGGGAACAGTTAGCCTTTTTCAGTTCTAACACTGGTAGCACTTTTGATTCTGGAGCTCCTGAATCCCTGAAACTCTACCAAGAAAACAAAAACCAGGAACTGAGAGCTCTACCATAGACCCTCTAGTTAACTGCAGGTCACCTAAGTTTTCTTTGTGTGTCCGTCCGCCGCATGAGAGACGGACCTGTACCAATTCAAAATGGTCAAATGTGGACTTGTCTGAAGGTTGTTTTCTGCCCTGAAACTAGTCATTTCATCAAATCCATCAATAGAACATGAAAAGAAGCTTTTAGCTTCTGTCTTTATACTGAAGTAATTTTTCGTGCTATTACAAAAAAGGAAATGGTCTCCCTGCACCCCACAGAGAGAGAGGAGGATGCTACTGTCAATTCAAACTTTTCTTTAAAGAAATGACAAGCCAAGTGCAGAGTTGGCCATTTGTCTGAGATGACTGCAAGGTGTTAGTTTATTGCCCAGACTTTATTTTTTTATTATTTTATTTATTTATTTACTTATTTATTTCGTGATTTTATTTATTTATATATATATATATATAGAGAGAGAGAGAGAGAGAGAGAATGCATATGAGTGGGGGAGGGGCAGAGGGAGAGAGAATTCCAAGCAGGCTCCGCACAGAGCCCAATCTCATGACTCTTAAGATCATGACCTGAGCGAGAATTAAGAGTCAGATGCTTAACTGACTGAGCTACCCAGGTGGCCCTGCCCTGGCTTTGAAAGAAGCCACTGTGATGTGAGCTGGTCCAACGGAAGCAAAAGTCCATCATCACTAGGGAAAGACTTCTGATTACACATCAAGCAAACCTTCTGAGACAGAATGGAAAGAAGGAGGGGGAGCTTCCTCTTCCCACATCCTCAATAGCCTTTCTCAGCCACGTTTAATTTTTTTAAATCTCTTCAGAGAACCCACACTTTAATCCTATAACTAAGATATTTACAGGTGTTAGCTACCAGCCATTTGGAAACTTAAAAAGAGAAAATTAATTGCCTGGGTTGGGAGGGAGAACGTGGGAGATGTTACTCTGACTGCCTTTGGAATTGAGCATTAAGCCAAGAACTTACGTGCATTTTATATTTTATTCTCATTTTTGCTACAGGATCTTAAATAGTATTCCTCCTTAATTTGTAGCAATTTAGTAGCACACTAGAATAATAGAGCTCTCTTTCATTCATTCCCCATTTAATAAGTATTTACTGAGCCACTCCACTGTATTCCAGGGAGGGTGCTAGGTACTGGGGTTACAGTGGTAAGGAAAATAAGAGACCAGCCCTGCCCTCAGGGAGATTCCACAAACTTGTGGAGACAACAGACCTAGTCAAATACATAACTCTGGGGGCACCTGGGTGGCTCAGTCAGTTAAGTGTCTGCCTTTGGCATAGGTCATGATCCCAGGGTCCTGAGATGGAGCCTTGTGTCAGGCGGGTTCTGCTCATCCCTCTCCTCCTCACTTGTGCTTTCTCTCTCTGTCTGTCTCTCAAATAAATAAAAATCTTTAAAAAAATAAATAAATAACTATAGTCACAAACCATATCAATATGCCAGAAAGGGAAAGTAAAGAAAGAATGTGTTAAAGAAGGAACTGATTGGTTGGGTGTGGTGTTTCAAAAAAAACTGTGGGAAACAGGTGTTGGAAATATAAACCATTATCTTGGGGAGGGGAAAGTTAGGAAAAATGAACTAACCATTACTGAATAATAACAACTATAAATTATGTAGCACTTATCACGTGTGAGGCCCTGTCCTAAGCACTTGACATAGATTATTTCATTAATTCTTACAATAGATCTGTAGTGGAGGAACTGCTATTTCTCCCATTTTATTAATGTAAGAACAAATGAGTTTTAAAGATTTGAACATTTAAACAATATAGTCTTGGCAGGGCTAATACTGAAACCCAGGTGTGCTTGACTCCAAAGTCTGTCTTTTTCACTAAGCTTCTCTTGACTATCTTCTATGAAGCCTACTGTATTCCCATTTGCAGAGATCTTTTTAACTCTTCAAAATGCACTCTGTAAATCTCAAATAATATAATATAACAGTATTTGGAAGAAGCATAGAATTCCTTGCCTGTATTGACTATTGAAATTTGAAGAGCTATGTAGAGTTCTACATTTCTATTAATTTCTGTCAGATGAAAAAAGTGTAGAGAACATAGACAAGCAAAAATAATAAAATAATACCACCATCCATAGGTAAATACATCAGTATTTTGTTGTATTTCATTCTTGTCTTTTTTTGTAAAATATATCACAATATATGCTTTGTAAATAAGAATATACATCGCATTTTCCTTTGGCATGACTTAGTGAAAAAAATAATTTTCCCAAAGTATATAGTAGCAAAACTATTAATTTATGTCTTCTTAAGAAATCAGACTGTTAAAAAACAAAAACAAAAGTGCATATGTCAAATTTCGGATTGATGTTTAGAAAGTATATTTAGTCTCTTCTTTAATCTCAACTTTCCTTTGATTTACAAACAGAATATGTTTTTGGCTATCATCAATGATACTTACTCTGAAGTTAAATCTGATTTGGCCCAGCAGAAAGCTGAAATGGAACTCTCAGATCTTATCAGAAAGGTATGACAAGCCCTAATTCTCAGAACTGTTTTATTTTCTACATAAAATGAGCATTGTTTCAGCCAGATTTCCATATAAAAGTTGATCCATTGTAAGGGTTTAAAAAAGAGTAGATTGCTACATGTCATCAATAATTTAAATGTTCTCTGTCTTGGAGCTAGAGATGGGTTTGCTGCTAGCTTGGTCTTAAATTCTGGGAATCCTTTATTGCCCTAGAATTAAATTCTCAATAGTCTCTTGCCCTAGAATTAAAATCTCAACAATCTCTTTTGACTCTTAAGAGCTGAGCTGCTGATTCTACCTTTATTGTTTTGAGGACACCTTTGGTAGGCTGACATGTGCAGCTCCAAAGTTCAGAATAAACTGGAAGGGAAGAACCTAAAGACATTTCTACTTTTTCTTTCTCACATACAGTTTTTAAAAAGAAAAAAACAAAGTTTTAGAAGAGAATATTTTGTCGTTCACCCTTTAACCTTGACCTTCCAGGGAAGTTTTAAAATAATCAAAGGAAAAAGGCCACAGAGTAGGGGCCTGAGAACTTTCACTTCTGCACCTTCTCAGGAAGTTGTTAAATAAATGGAAGGGCAGGACAGGAAAGTTGGGTAGCTTTGTTCTTCTCAATGTGATTTCTTTATTTGGTTTAAAGTATAAAACTTAAGCAACAACAAATAACTATATCTAAAGCACACACAAACACACAGCTTGTTCCCTAACATCATTTTGCTAAGAGACCAGTGGCTCCTGGACTGTGTGATCTTTTTTGTTGGTTCAAATCCTAAGACTGTGTTGTCTGTGAATCATGTTGGAACAGAGAACTTCCAGTTCTTAAACAAAACCCCTTGTTTCAACAATGAATTTTGGAACAGTGGAAAAAAACAAAATTAAGTTAAAAAAAAAAAAAAGAAATAACACACACTAAACTAATAAATAAATAAATACTATGAAAATCTTCAGATCACAAAAAACAAAACAACCCTTGGATGGGACCTAAAATTTGGGTTATCCTGATTTTTGCAAAAACAGTTTATTACATCTTAGCAAATCTCCAAGGTGTTTACAAGCAATCCTTACTTTGTTTGCACTTTGGTTCTGAGATACACAGGTTTCAATTATTTCATGTTCAATATGGCCAGCCTCTCCACACAGTTCCCCATTTCAGTTGTCACAGTATCTTGACTGTGAATAATACTATAAAGTGCAAACTTCCAATTTTCACAGAACATTTCAGTTATCTCAGTATATTAACTGTACTGGCATAACATAAACTTCATGGCTAGCTCTTCAGTCTACAAATCGTTACATAAAAAACAGATGTGTATCATAATCAGTGAGCAATAACATCCCTTCTTACAAAGTCTAGGCTAGGTCAAGGAGTACCAGCCTTTCAGTGCAGGCACAAAACATGTACTTGTGTTGCTTCTCTCTCTCTCTCTCTCTCTCTCTCTGTGAGACACGCCATGTGATGTTTTACAAAAACATCTGAAAGGGAGAATGGGCCAGCAAAGAGGAAAGCAGAGCAAAGAAACCAAGACTGTTAACACTGAAAGTGAAGTTCAAAACAAATGTAAGAGAGTTCTAGAATAGGGAGCTGTGGGAATGTTGACACTGCTACCCTTCAAAATCTTGAATATCTGTAGAAAAACTGATATGGAGTCAAAGAACCTAGTGAAGGCAAATTTATCAATGTGAATGAGGGTAGTGGTTGTGTTGGAAAGTTCCGACAGTGTCTCTGAGGAAGTGACGCTGGCAAACAATGTCACATACAAGGAACTCTGGAGATATTTTACAACATTGAAAGGCAAAGGATAAAATGTTGGGAGCTGATCCATATTAAGAAAGGATTATCAGAGCTCCTCAAGACAGAAAAGAGGCTTCCTGCATATCCGGTGACACGGGAAGAAGGGAAGCACTATTCAAACTACTCTGGGTAAAATTGTTACAAAGAAATAAGACATTTTATTTTTTAATGTTTCTAGTGTTTTAAATTTAAATTTTAAATTTTAAATAAATATTCATTTTACGTTTTTTTTTTGATTTCCCTATAAATTTATAACCAATGCCAAGGGAGTTTTTAACGCTTTGAATAAAAGGTTTTGTTTTTTTTTTTTAAGTTTATTTATTTAAGTAATCTCTATGCCCAACGTGAGGCTTAGACTCATGACCTCGAGATCAAGAGTCGCATGCTCTCCTGACTGAGCCAGCCAGGTGCCCCGATAAGATGTTTCAAAGGTCATAAGTTTTCCTATTAATTATTAACATCACTTGCACAGTTTCGCCTTGCGTCATCAATTTTGACAGTCCTGCATGTCCGTGCAAAGCAAGATCTACACTAGCAGTTACTAGTGTAAATGGATGGGAAAGCACATGCAAAAAAGAGAATAAACTAAACCCAATCATTTCTTTTCAACAGGGCTGCCATAAAGCCTTGGTCAAACTCAAACTGAAAAAAAATACTGTGGATGACATTTCTGAGAGTCTGAGGCAAGGGGGAGGCAAGTTAAACTTTGATGAACTCCGACAAGATCTCAAAGGGTGAGAATCACACGTTTTGAGGCCCTGGGAAATTCCTATATAAACATAAGTTCTTGGTGACACAGATTTATCTGGCCTGAGTACTCAGAGAAATGCTCTTTTTTTCAAAGGAGGTGTCTTTCTGGAATGTGTCCTCAGAGGAGGGCTGGCCCTGATTCAGCAGTTTCTCCTTTCTTCTGCATCATGTCTCTGTGCTTGTGTTGGACCATGTACATGAGTGATTTCATCTGTAACCTCTCAATAATTTCAGGAAGGGCCATACCGATGCAGAGATCGAGGCAATATTCACAAAATATGACCAAGATGGAGATCAAGAACTGACCGAACATGAACATCAGCAGATGAGAGACGACTTGGAAAGAGAGAGGGTGGGTCTAGTTTAGAGCCGGGTTTGATTCAGCACTCCCCGTGTTTCAGACACCATGCTACGTGGCGGAGTACCGAGAGTCTCTCTGTCTCTCTGCCTCTTTCTGTCTCTCTGTCTCAGTTTATGTAGTAGTACCCGGCATGTTCCAAAAAGGATATATAACATAATAATATGTAAAAATATAGTAGATTGGCATAAATGCAAAAAATCAAAATGAAAAAAATTAGGTGAAACAAAAGTGAAATTAAAATTAGACTATGAAGCTAAAAATGCAAATACATATATGCTTTTTAAAGACTGAGCTACAAATTCAGCCATAATAAGCTTTCTGGTCATCAGCTTGAAAAGGGAAACTTAGGAGTTACATACTTCACAATGTCCATGAGAGTGAGGAAAATAAGATTGCTTGGGAGATAGAAAGTTAGTTGCTCTATAAATTAACACTTATAATAAAATAAAACTAGCAGCTGCCTTCCATCTGAGTACTTATCATGAAATGATCTTTTATAATCAGAAAGGATAATTAAAAGCTTTTAACATTAACTTTAAAAATAAGTGGCTAAACAGGGGTGCCTGGGTGGCTCAATGGGTTAAGCCTCTGCCTTCGGCTCAGGTCATGGTCTCGGGGTCCTGGGATTGAGCCCCACATCGGGCTCTCTGCTCAGCAGGGAGCCTGCTTCCCTTCCTCTCTCTCTCTGCCTGCCTCTCTGCCTACTTGTGATCTCTGTCTGTCAAATAAATAAATAAAATCTTTAAAAATAAATAAATAAGTGGCTAAACAGGGGCGCCTGGGTGGCTTAGTGGGTTAAAGCCTCTGCCTTCAGCTCGGGTCATGATCTCAGGGTCCTGGGATCGAACCCCGCATCGGGCTCTCTGCTCAGTGGGGAGCCTGCTTCCCCCTCTCTCTGCCTCCCTCTCTGCCTACCTGTGATGTTTCTCTGTCAAATAAATAAAATCTTAAAAAAAAAAATGGCTAAACAAACCAAAAATATCCATGGTAATTGAGGTGCAGAGAATATAGGTGAATAATATTCTATGCAAAAGTCCCTTTTCTATAAGGAGATAGTATTGAACAGCAATTTCCAAACTGCTCCACAGAACAGTGTCAGTAGGTGGGAAATTTTACCAGGTATAGTCAATGTGAACAGGACAGTGAGTAAAATCATGTTTCACCAGGCTGTATTTAGTTAAAATTTTTATTCTAAGATTATATCCTCCCTACTTTGTAGCTATTAAATGTGTTCTCTCTTTTATGAAAAGGGGATAATATATTTCTTCATTTACTTTTGTTGTTGTTATATTTTTTAATGTTCTTTCTTGTCCAAACAAGTTAGCAGTTCCGTGCTGGTCATTAAAAATCTGTTTTGAAAATTGGCCAGTCCATGAAATTTAGAAGAGTGGGAATCACAGTCTGGTGCTAAATGGCACATGGCCGTTTGCCATTTGCTTGAGCCCACAGTGAAGCTCTGTGGGACTCGCTGTTCTCGCTCCTCACTCAGTGACCCCTTGTTCTTCAGGAGGACCTGGATCTGGATCACAGCTCTTTACCACGTCCCATGAGCAGCCGAAGTTTCCCACGAAGCCTGGATGACTCTGAGGAGGATGATGATGAAGACAGTGGGCACAGCTCCAGAAGGAGGGGAAGCATTTCCAGTGGGGTTTCTTATGAAGAGTTTCAAGTGTAAGTATTAAGGAATTGGCAGAATTTGGGCTGACGTGTTCAAAGGAGACCAAGCAGCTTCTCTTACCTCTCAGTTTGATCCTTTCCATACTAAAAAAGTTCCTTATAGGAAAATTAGCAAATAAAGAAAAACAAAAGAAAACATTAAAATCTCTCCTATTCCCACTAAACCAAAATGCCAGTTAACATTTTGATGTTTGTATCTCTATTTACATGTGGGTTTTTTTTTTTTTTTATGTTTTTATTGCTGTGGCCCATGGTATATCCTAAAGGATGTTCCATGTGCCCCTGAGAAGAATGTGTGTTCTGCTCTTGTTAAGTGGAGTTTTCTATAGGTGTTTATTAGGTCTAGTTGGTTTATAGTGTTACTCAAATCTCCTGTTTCCTGTTGTTCCACCTGTTTGTTCTATCTACTTTTGGAAGTGGGTTATTAATGTCTCCAACTATATTGGGGCTCCTCTGTGGCTCAATCATTAAGTGTCTGCCTTTGGCTCAGGTCATGATCCCAGGGTCCTGGAACTTGCTTCTCCCTCTCCCTCTGCATGCAGCTCCCCTTGATTGTGCTCTCTCTGTCAAATGAACAAGTAAAATCTTTAAAAAAAAAAAATCTCCAACTATCATTATTAAATTGCCTCTTCCTTCTTTTCTGTAAGCTTTAGCTCTGTGTTTTTTGGAACTCTGCTGCTAGGTGTATATATGTTTACAATTGGTACCTCTTCCTAATAGATTGACCCTCTTTTCATTATAAAATGTCCTACTTTATCACTAGTAAGATTTTTTTTTTGTTTTAAAGTCATTCTTGTCTGATATTATTATAGCAACTCCGGCTTTCTTATTGTTGCTTTTTGCATGATATATCTTTTTCCATTCTTTCATTTCCAACCTGTTTGTATCTTTGAATCTCAAGTGTGTCACCTGTAGACAGCATTTAGTTGGATCTGGTCTTTTTATCCAGTCTGATAGTCTTTGCCTTTTGATTAGAATGTTTACTTCATTTACATTTAATGTTATCATTGATATGGCTGGACTTACATCTACCATTTTATTTTTCATTTTCTATAGGTCTTATGTCTTTTTTTTGTTCCTCTTTTTCTCCTTTATTGCTTCCTTTTCATAAAGTGGATATTTTCTAATGTAACATTTTAATTCCTTTAATAGTTTGTTTTTTTTTTTTTCATTACATTTTTCAGTTATGTTTTTAGTGGTTGCTCTAGGACTTAACCTACACAAATCAATTTATCAGAATCTACCTCAGATTTATATTAACTTAATCTGAGGAGATATAGAAATATAATTCCTATTTAACTCTGTTAACTCCTCCCCTTTTTGTGCCATTATTATACACATTCATCTATATATGTTAGAAATCCAGTATCACATTTTTAGAATTACCACTTCATATAATTTTATGTCCCTTAAAAGAGCTGAGACAAGAAGAGAAAGTATATATATATAGAGTTCAGCATATTCTTTTTCGTACTTACCATTTCTGGTTCTCCTCATTTGTTTCTATGGATTCAAGTTACCATCTGGTGTCATTTCGTATTCCAGTACAACTTTGATCTTACCCACCTCCTTTGTCCTGGTATTGTCAAATATTTTGTTACATTTCTATGTGTTATAGGCCCAACAATACAATTGTATATATATTGTCTTGCACAGTCCTTTTGAAATCAGTGAATAAGAAAAAAAAGGAAAAGGAGTATGCATCTATATTGTCTTCTACAGTTACACAGTAACATGTTCCCGTGCTCTTTGTGTTTTCATGTGGATTCTAATTACTATCTGGATCACTTCCTTTCAGCCTGAAGAACTTCCTTTAGTATCTCTTCTAAAGCAGGCCTGCTGGGGCACCTGGGCGACTAAGTCCATTAAGCCTCTTCCTTTGGCTCAGATCATGATCTCAGTGTTCTCAGATCAAGCCCTGTGTTGGGCTCCTGGCTCAGGAGGGAGTCTGCTTCTCCCTTCCCCTCTGCCCCTCCCCACAGCTTCTGTGCTCTCTCGCTCTCTTTAAAATCTTTAAAAATAAAAACTAAAGCAGGCCCGCCAGCTTGAATTCTCTCAGTTTTTCTTTATCTGGGGATAATTTTATTTCCCCTTCCTTTTCTTCTTGTCTCCACTATTTCTGATGAGACTATAACTTAATTTTACTGAGGTTCCCTTGTATGTGATGGGTCACTTTTCCTTGCTGCTTTTAAGATTTTGTCTGTCTTTGTCTTTCAGTATTTTGACTATGATCTGTCTGGATGTGGATCTCTTTGCAGTTATCCTGGTTAAAGTTCATTAAGCTGCTGGGATATATAATATTTTTATCAAATTTAGGAAGTTTTCAACTATTATGTCCTCAATTTTTTTTTTTTTAAGATTTTATTTATTTAGGGCGCCTGGGTGGCTCAGTGGGTTAAAGCCTCTGCCTTCGGCTCAGGTCATGATCTCAGGGTCCTGGGATCAAGGCCCGCATCGGGCTCTCTGCTCAGCAGGGAACCTGCTTCCTCCTCTCTGCCTACTTGTGATCTCTCTCTCTCTCTCTGTCAAATAAATAATTAAAAAAAAAATCTTAAAAAAAAAAAAGATTTTATTCATTTATTTCCCAGAGAGAGAGAGTGAGCACAGGCAGGCAGAGTGGCAGCAGAGGCAGAGGGAGAAGCAGGCTCCCCACAGAGCAAGGAGTCCGATGTGGGACTCGATCCCAGGATGCTGGGATCATGACCTGAGCCAAAGGCAGCTGCTTAACCAACAGAGCCACCTGGGTGTCCCGAGTCCTCAAATATTTTTTTGCTGCTTTCTCTCCTTTCCTTCTGGGAGTCCTATCCTATGTATGTACTGCTGTCCCACGTCTTTCTTCACTCTTTTTTCTCTCTGCTTTTCAGATTACGTAGTTTCTGTCCATCTGTCTTGAAGTGCTGATTCTTTCTTCTGCCAGCTCAAATCTGCCATTGAAACCCCTTTAGTGACTTTTTCATTTCATTTATTGTACTTTGCAACTCCAGAATTTCTCTTAGTTTCCTTGAAATAATCTGCATCTCTTTGTTGATATTCTCTATTTGATGAGACAATGACATCATACTATGTTTTTAAGCCTGATTTCCTTTAGTTCTTTGAATATATTTATAATAGCTACTTTGAGCTCTTTGTCTACTAAATCTATCTGGACCCCCTCATAGGCAGTTTCTGTTGCCTCCTTTTTCTTATCTATATGTATGGGTCACATTTTTTCTGGTTTTGTTTTGTTTTTTTTTTTGCATGTCTTTTTTTATAATTGAAAACTGGAGATATTAAATAAATATTATAGCAGTTTAGAATACTAATTTTCTTTCCTCCCCTACCCCCAGGCTTATTGTATTTGCTGTTTGCATGCTTGTTTTTTAATGAAGTCCGTTCCCCCCCCCACCCCACACTGTGAAGCTTCTGATGTTGCTTGTCAGAGGACACAGTCGTGACCACGTGACCACACACAGTCCTCTTGAAAAGACAGTGCTTTTAGCAGGACTCCTCTCATTGTCTTTCCCGATCTCTCTGTGAAGCTTTCCACCTCTGTTGATATTACTTCCACCTCTTAGCTTCCACTAACTGTTGGCTGGTTGGTCTGTTTTCAGTAATGCCTCAGGATATAAGCTGTTCCACACTCTGACCCAATTCAATCCAGGCCCCTTTGCAGGGGTAGTTACTGAAGCCAGTCTTTAGCAGTCTTCTTAGCTGTCTCTTTCCCTGGTTCTTTCTGGTAAACTAGCTGGTAAATAATTTACCTTTTTATCTCATGGGGTTACCAACCTCATCTTAACAATCTCCATTTTGAGGAACACTCTTAGGCTTAGCACTTTGTTCCACATAAAGCCATTTCTCTTGGAGGAAGCTTTGGAGCCCTGTGTTCTGTGACCTGACTCTACTCCCGGGGAAAACCTCTGTACCACAGCCTCAGAGCTAGGGGCAGGGACAGTGGTCTGCTTCCCAAAGTGATACCCCTGTTTCATGAATAAGCCACTAGGCTAGGATGGCAGCCTTCAGTCTTCTCAGCTTTCCTGTCCTGGCATGGAAACTCCACCCTACAGTTGGCAGTTGGGTGGAGAAAGAGAACCTCATTCCTCTCAGCCACTCTTGCCTTAGATTAGATCCTCTGCCACATGGATTTGGAGAGGAGAAATGCAGTAGCCCGGCCCTCCCTGGGAGATCCCATAGCCCCCCATTGGGAGCTGAAGGGAGTGGGGGCCCTGTGTCCATTGCCAAACCCAACTGGAGTGACACTTCTGTCACAGTGAGCTGGGGAAGACAGAGAGGGAGCAGACTGTAGCTCACATGTCATAGACTCTCACTCTTCTTACTAAAATCCAGTGGATTTTCTTAGATAAATGCTTCTTCATTTGCTGTATACTCTTAAGAAGATTTACAGAATTTTGAAAAAGGAATTTAAATAATTTTCAACAGCTATAGTTCTTTCTCTGGGGAGAGTACCTATAGAGCCCTCATGGCATTATTCCAGAAGTTGTCTCCTATTTCTATGTTTTTAAAGCATTTACTTAACTTTTTATTCAAATCATTAGTGAGCAGTGTTTTCTAGCTACTTTATTTACTTAATATATTGTGAACATTATTATTTCATTAAATATTTCATCACCATATAATTTCTGTTGTCTCCTTGGAATTCCATTTTATGGATGAACAATAACATATTTGAATGATTCTCTGTTAATTATGATCATTTTTTAAAAAGATTTTATTTATTTATTTATTTATTTGAGAGAGCACAAGCAGGGGGGAAGGGCAGAGGGAGAGAGAGAAGCAAACTCCCCAGTGAACAAAGAGCCTGATGCGGGGCTCGATCCCCGGACCCCAAGATCATGACCTGATTCTAAGGCAGACACTTAACCAACAGAAGCACCCAGGTGCCCCTAATGTAACCATTTTCAGTGAACTACTATTAATAAGCAGAACTCTAATGAGTATGCTGATAGCCAAAAAAATCACACATATACATATTTCCTTTGGAAATTTTCCCAAAAATGGAACATCGAAATAAAAGTTAAGCATATATTTTTAAGACTTCTAATACAATGTTGACTTTGCAGAAAAGTTGTGCCAGTTAGCATTCCCATCAGCAATATGTGAGTTTATCGCTAAAGTCTGAGACTGCTTAGAATGTTTTTCAGATTATCATATTGTTTAAGAAATCTTAGCACTTCCATCTGAAAAGCCAACTGGGCGGAAAAGGCAACCAAGGGTGTAAGGTGGCTTTGACCCGCTCCCCTGCGGTTTCGCACAGCCTGGTGAGACGAGTGGACCGCATGGAGCACTCCATCGGCAGCATCGTGTCCAAGATAGACGCCGTGATCGTGAAGCTGGAGATCATGGAGCGGGCCAAACTGAAGAGAAGGGAAGTGTTGGGAAGGCTGCTGGATGGGGTAGCAGAGGTAAGTGGTCATGTGACACAGAAACACTGATTCAGTAAAATATTAGGGTAGTCCTATCTTGTAACCTTTAATCTGAGACGTTTTTTGAGATGTCTGTGTAACTGCAGATCAGGGCAATCAGATGATAATCTGGAGCTGTTACATAATACTGCAAGCACTGAGGCTTCTGCCTTCCCTAAATGGTAGAATGAAGCAAAAAAGTTATTCCAGTAGCTCAGGGAATTTCTATGTATGCTCTAAATTGCTGGTGTCACTTAATGAGAGATAATTTGGCCACTTACTTTCCTAGGGCAACTTCTAAGCACAAAAGTATGCGTCGTCCTACCCCCAACATGGTGGTCTCTTTTTCCTTTATTAGGATGAAAGACTGGGTCGTGACAGTGAGGTCCACAGGGAGCAGATGGAACGGCTGGTGCGGGAAGAGCTGGAACGCTGGGAATCGGATGATGCGGCTTCCCAGATAAGTCATGGTTTAGGCACACCTCTGGGACCGAATGGTCCACCTCGCCCCAGAAGCTCCCGCCCTTCTTCCTCCCAGTCTGCAGAAGGATTAGAAGGTGCAGGTGCAAACGGGAGTTCCAGTATCCACGTCTAGGACGTGTGTTAGCACGTGTTCCTAATCGGTGAGAAAGGGGCTGTCTTGCGTTGGCGGAACAAGTACACTATTTATATGCCCCGCCCACCATGCGATGCTGGTCTTTGTGACCAGCTGTTAATGCTTTTGCACTTTAATTTATTTTAGATAAACCTTGCCCATGGATCAAAGAAGATTTTTTTTCTTCATGTAAGAAATCTAGGTGTAAATATTGAGTCTAGAAAAAAAGTCTTTGTAAAGTATATGGAGTGGTACGCCTACTTGCTCCCATGGGTGAGTCTTCTCAGTTGACAATGAAGTAGCCTTTAAAGCCAGGAGAGACCTGTTGGAACTCCTGTCGGAGTTTTATTTCCAATCACAGAAATCAGTATTGGCATTTTTGCCCAGTGTGTGGAGGGAAAGTAGGGGCATTCCTTCCCACTCAGGCTTAGCTCATGGACGTAATATATCACTTTCTTTTAAGAAAGGAGCCTTTTATTTCAACTACCTTCCTGGGGTAAACTTTTCTAAAAGATGAGCTGGAAAAGAACTCCAAATGGATATGTAGTCATTATGCTAGAATTTGTATGAATGGTTAAGATAAATGTTGAATAATGTGCTATTTTTTTTTGTTACTGTATCTGATGTCTGTGGGAATAACTGTTTGACTTATTCACAATATTTTTGCTCTGAACTGCATGAAGCCAAAAGTGATTGATTGTGGGTTAATATGTCATCTCTAACCATAACGTGGGAAAATTGGAAGGAGCCCAATCACTAAGTTTGACTTAGTCTAATAATTAGTTTTATATGAAGGTTTGTCCATATATTCTCTTCCCAGGTGGCCCAGCTTATTTGCATGCTTTAATGATTTTAATGTTTTTATTTAATGATTTTAATGTTGTAGCTAATCTGGGAAGGCCAACTTACTAAATATTTTAAGTATGTACAGAAGGTTTTAGCTCAGCAGATATGTTCATTTTACACAAAAATTTAAAGGAGTTTTGAAATGCATACATAAATATTATAGAACTAAAGTTTGAGTTTTATGCTGTTTTGAGAATATAAAACTCAAATGCTCTTTTTTTTATGAGAGAGAGGAAGGGGCAGAGCAACAGGGAGAGAGAACCTTAAGCAGGCTCCATGCTCAGCAGAAAGCCCAACACAAGGTTCAGTCTCTTGACCCTGAGATCATGACCTGAGCCAAAATCAAGAGTTGGACATTTAACCAACTGAGCCACTCAGGCACCCTTAGAACTCAAATACTCTTGATACTGCATCTCAGAACTAGAATTTTTCATCTAAATGGAGCTCAGTTTAATCAAAAGGAGTTTCTGGTATTGAAAATTTCATTAACAAAATGTATCAGCCAAAGTTTGAGTTTGCAGCAGGTTTTTTTTCCCCCATTAAGAGAGGATCTCTCACCAAATTAATGGAGAAGAAATCTATTTCTCAATAAAAAATAAAGATCTTATTTTTCAAAAGTGTTGAATAAGGTGACTGTCCCATGAGCTAATGGGACAAGCAAGAGAGAATGCAACGTTGGTGAGTTAACTCCGACTCAGAGAACACGAGAAGAGAGGCCCACGTTTTAGTGCCTTGTTTTGAATTCGCACGTTGTTCACGTAATGGGTAGAATATGTCAGTCAAATCTTCAATGAAAACATAAGCGAACAAACCTTTTAAAGCTAGCTTCCAGAGAAGTGATATACATTGGGTTTCTTTAACAGGATTTCTCCTGGCTTTCTTTCAAATATGCTACACAAAGTTCTTTATTACTAGGTACTAAAGTTTGCATTCCAGGGACACTGAGTGCATGTGTTTATGTCTGTGTACCGTGTTGTCACATGTAAACAAACTTCAGTTTGAAGTGCAGCCATTATGTGGTATCCATGTGCATCGACCATGTGCCATAAGTCAGTTATGGTCACTAGAAAGTCTTCTTATGTACTTATTATACTGTTCCTCATTTCACCTGTAAGATTTTACAAAATCCCTTTTACCTGTAAGGTACATATTTTTTTCTCTTTAGTCATGGAGCATTCCCTTCTCATCCCTCTCCTATCAACCTCCCCTCTGTATTTGTGTTATTAAGATGTTACATACGCAAGTCTCTCGACAGTTGAGAACTTCATTAATGTGTAATATTGAGCACTTTACTTCTCAATAAAGACTTGGTATAATAACAGATGTGATAGTGGTCTGTTTCCTAAGTAGAAGCAGCTGGGTAATTTGTATCACATGAGACTTATTAGTAAAGGCTTAGACTTTGAAAAAGGCATCTTCATTTTTTTATGTCCCAAGAACAGTATGATTGACACATGACTACTTCTGCTGAATGTGCTTGTAGGAGGTTATTCTGAGGATTGTGTAGTATTTCCTACTGTGCAGCTACCACATTTTACTTAATGCTTTTCTATAGTGAAGAGTTGGCTCTAATATTTCTGTTATTTGAAAACTTTGAACATAATTCCCTTGTTGGCTTTTCGTGAGTTCCTCCATGGGTATAGAACAGGAGTTGGAGTGTTGAATGCCAGGTCTACAAATATTTAATTTTTTTAAAATTTTATTTATTTTGCAAAGAGAGAGAGTGTGTGAGCAGGGGGAGGGGCAGAGGGAGAAGGAGGGAGAGAATCTCAAGCAGACTCTGCACTGAGCGCAGAGCCCAGTGCAGGGCTTGATCCCAGGACCCTGAGATCATGACCTGAGGCGAAATCAAGAGTAGAACACTTAACCGACTGAGCCACCCAGGCGCCCCTATAAATACTTAATTTTATTCAGAACTGTCAGATTCCCCTCCGGAATGATTGCACCAGTCTACAATTCCACAACGTGCATGAGATAACCAATTTTATGCATACCCTCACCGGCATCCCTACCATCTAACTTCCTACTTTTTGTTAATGGCATGGTTTTAAAGTAAGGTTTCATTTTATTTTGCATTTCTCTGATTCCTAATTCCTAAGGTTGTACATTCCCTCACATAATTGTTCAACATTTGGGTTTCCCTTTTGGTAAGTTGCCCATTCAAACTTTAAAATCTTACACTTTGATCTACTGGGAAACACATTATGTTTTTGTTCATTGCTTATTTTTCTACTGGGTCATGGCCTTTTTTGTTGATTTGCCAATCAACAAATCAAGTTCCTTGTTGTATGGTTTAAGTATTAATCCCTTACCAGTTTTGGACTCTTACTAGTATCTCTCATCCAACTGATAACTTTGTCAATATTTCCTTGGTTTTTATATTAAAAAAATCCATCAATTTATTTTGCCGGTGTTAGGGGTTTTGAGACCTTTGTACGGTGAAAAACTCTTATTTATTAACTTACAGTTTTACCTTTCACATTTAATACCTTGTATAAGGGTAACCTTGTGTAAGGCCCACAGGTGTTTTCTCCATACAGTGAGCCAGTTTTGCCAATATTCTCTATTAAGTTACTTTACCTTGTTCATGATGTCTTTTCCGTTTCATGTATAAATATGTGGGTTTTTTTTTTTAACTTTTAGCCTTTTACAAATTGATCTATGAATGTTCTTGCACAACTTTTATTATTAGGACTCTATAGTATGTGTTTGTATGTGGTAAGATCTTTTTCCTTTTCTTTTTTTTTTCAAAATTGTGCTATTTTTGTGAACCTTTATTTTTCCATGCAAGTGCCCAGACAAATTTGGTGGGTTCCTAAGAGAGAAATTTGGTGGGTTTCCAGAGAGAAAAAGTTCCCACTGGAATTTTATTGGAATTGCATTGAATTTATTTTATTTTTTAAAAATATTTTATTTATTTATTTGACAGAGAAATCACAAGTAGGCAGAGAGAGGGGGAAGTAGGCTCCCCGCTGAGCAGAGAGCCCCATGCGGGGCTCGATCCCAGGACCCTGAGATCATGATCTGAGCTGAAGGCAGAGGCTTAACCCACTGAGCCACGCAGGCACCTTGGAATTGCATTGAATTCATTGATTATTTTAGGGAGAACTGACATCTTTTTTTTTTTTTTTTTTTTTGGTGAATATTTTTTTTATTAAATTTTATTTTTTATAAACATATATTTTTATCCCCAGGGGTACAGGTCTGTGAATCGCCAGGTTTACACACTTCACAGCACTCACCATA